GTTCGTGTATAGAGGAAACACAGGGGTTATTCAATTCTTTTTGTGTTTTGATGGAAATTCCCATATGTTCATCGGCTTCTACTTTTAAATGGCGTTTGGTTTTGCCAATATAGGAGGCCTTACAGTCTCCATATGTGTAAAGATAGACAAGCCAAGAACAATAAGGAATGGGGAGGAGATCTTTAGTAGGGAAAAAAATGCCATTTAAAAGTTGGAGCCTATGAACATAATGCTACAAATTAACTGTATAGCAACTGGTTTTAAACATTAGGTTGTTCCTTGTTGGTCTGTTTTTATCCCCGTCACAATTCAGAATTTCTCAAAAATGTGAAAAAAAGGAAAATTACTCATTTCAGTTGCTGATTACTGTGTGTTTCCTTTAAAATAGGAAGAGAAATGTTGAGGTGTTTGGTAAAGAAAGGTATCCAGTGTTCATATGTTTTGATTAATGCTGTTCCCTACATTATGCAAGAGGTAAGTTTTTTGAAATCATTAGTTTGTTTGAAAAGTGTTATGACCCAAAACTCTTGTAGATATATTCCTTTTTTTAAAGAATAAATTGTTAATATAATAATATACGCTGTGGCCTTAGCAGTGTAATAACTATTTTATAATTATGTACTTTCATATATATATATATTTAAATATAAATTTTTTAAAGAATTGTTTAGTGCAGTGTTTCTCAACCAGTAAGTTGCAGCCCACAAAGCAATTTGAAGTGGGCCTTCAAAGGGCTTAAGATTAGTTGACAATATTTTAAAAATGTTCCAAAATGGCAAAAGTATAATGCAAAATACATAATACCAAACAAAATTATTGAAGTTAAGTAGGTCATGTTACTAAAAAAGGTTTAGAAATGCTGGTTTGGTTAATATATGTAGCATTGAATATTTTGAAAATTTTAAGTGATACCTCTTACATAAACATTAAACTACTTTTGTTGCTTTTGACAGTAATTTTTCTAATTAAGCCTAATTTTGTTTTGAACGTTAATACATGTGCCTCAAAATTTTAGGTTAATGAATTACTTTTTTCTGTGTTATGTTCACATAATTTATCATTTACAAACACATTTTTAACATTATTATTATGACTAGAAAAAAAGCTGATATTTTGAGCTAGATGGCAAAATTATATGCAAAAGATACAATGGTGAGCTTCAGTAATGGTTGTTTATTCTTTTGCATGTGATTGTTTGTAAAAGTATTTTTATAATTACAGAACTGAATGAAATTAATGTAACTTTTTTTTTTTTAGTCAGATATTTGATTTTGTTCTATAGGTAACTAAGGTGATGCTTGGAGCACACTCGTTACAAGCCAATGGATATGTCATGTCAAGAGTTGGGTGTTCTCAGATTGCTCTCATTGCTAGAGCCTACAATGTTCCAGTTCTAGTTTGTTGTGAGACATACAAATTCTCAGAGCATGTGCACACAGATTCTATTGTCTATAATGAATTGGGTAAATGTTCTTTCATATTCTTTTTTTTCTTCTAAAAATAAAAATAATTATTTAGATCGTCATTGTCGTGATTGGTAGCCTATAAAATCACCCAAGTCTAATTATTTAGTAATTATGAAACTTAAGTGATTTTATAAGTTACTAACTGTGACAATAATGATATCACCATAATTTTACTATAAGTACTTTCATTTTTTATATTTCTGTTTACTTCTACAAGCTTTTTTTTATTACACAAGTCATGTATTTATATTTTTAGACCAAAATGAATTTATGAATTTACTGTTGTGTGTGTATATTATATATATATATAGACACACACACACAAGGAGAATTTATCTCTGAAATATCAACTAATCACTCTCCAGAAAAAAAGTATTTTATTCAAACTTGGTGTTTAAGCTTACACCTTTCTCAAGGATTATAGCATCATATACAAATACAAACTGTTAACCGAATTTACAATGGTGTTGTAAGCTCTTAGCAAAATGTAATAGTTTCCTTGATTGTAAATTCAAAGAGTCTCTCCTGATTCAATCTTATGAACTTAATTCTAATCATTATAATACCTTATAACATTGTTAGTCAGTTTTTAATTGTTTTATATATCCTTTTTGATTATCAGTTTATATTTGTATTTGACACTGTAACCCTTGAGAAAGGTGTAGGCTGAAACACCAGGTTTGAATAAAATCGTTTTTTCTGGAGTGTGATTAGTCTCTCATCTTTATTTCTTTCTTCTTTTTTTTTGCATACATGGTTTCATTACTCCATTTTACAAAGTTTAAAAACTGATACAACATTTACTTGTATATATTTGGAAATATTTTTGTGTGTGGTAAAAGAAATACAGTCGTGTAATAAAATGTATTCCATATATCATTGTTTTTATTATATTATAGTTTCCTCCATTTATCTTTTTATATTTGGTTATTTTGCACATTGCTTACATCTTTTTTCTTTTCAGCTGATCCCAATGAACTTGTGACTGAATTGCCACCCAACAAACAAACACTAGAGAACTGGCAAGATATTCCTTCATTGTATTTATTAAATCTTGAATATGATTTGACCCCTCCTGACTTGGTTGCTATGGTGATCACAGATATAGGCAATTTGCCTTGTACTTCTGTTCCTGTGGTGCTGAGAGTTAAGCATGCAGGTTCACAAGAGGTGTAAATTCTCTTGCTTCTAGTTAATGTTATGCTACCCCTTTTTTAATCTTTTTTTGTTGTTATTTTTAAGAGTTTCAAACGTTTTTAATTATGTAGACAGGTGGTATTAAATATTTGAGTAACTAATATTATTAAAGAACTAATACATGTTAAAAGCTGGTTCAGTAATAACATTATGCATCTGTTGGTGGTAAGAAAGGCTGTCCAATTGGAAATTAAAAAGGTATGCATTGTGAAGTCAGATATGCAGTTGAAATGAATAAATTTGCATATAGCTGTAGAAAATTGAAAGCAGAAGCATTATTGTACATTAAAAAATTAATTCACAGATATATATACAACTCAAATGTACATCAGGTTATATAGTTAGTCAAATAAAATCCTACAAATCCCTGTGATTTAGATATATGGTTTAACTTGATTTGTTTTTATGTGCTATAAAAATAATGAAGATTTCTAAGGTTCCCTTGTAGCTCTCAATTTCTGTGTAGCAGCAGTAGCAAAAATGGATATTTTGTCTTGCAAGCCTAATATGATCATTTAAAATATTCTGATAAAATTAAAAACACATCAGAAGATAATATTCATTAACATGCAGTGTTTGGTTCTGTTGCCTAAATAAACTTAAATTTTTGTCTTTCAACACATAGGTAATATTTTTTTAAATTATCATTTGCTTGATTAGAAGATTTATAAATTTAGGAATTGTATGTGTAACAGTTTGATTTTTGTTTTTGGGAGTGGTTGTGTGCATACATTTTTGAAGTGTATATTAATTAAAGGTGCCACAGTAGTTATTGAAACCTAAGTAAAAGCTATAGATTTAGATCTATGTCTGTTGGAATGCTAACGTGAAACGTAGGGAATTCTGAGGCAGTGCAACTGGGTATTATTTTTTTAGATTTGACTTTAAAAAATTTTGGCCAATTTCTTGCCCTTAAGCCCCATAATTCTGCTTCCTGAAGGTCTATAGAAAAGTATAATTTTTTTCTAATTCACACTTACTGAATGAATAGTATATGGAGGTATTCTGCCAAATACTCTTTTTGAACTGAAACATGGAGAGAAAAATTCAGATCTGAGAATTAAAAAAATGAATTGAACTAAGTTTGGGAAATGGCAACAAACAACAGGAAGAAAAATATACGATTCTGAGAAGCTAAGTTAAAACTATTTTCTTTTAAGAGTTGAATTGAATTAAGTTTGGAAAATGGCAACAGACAAATCAGGTAACGAATTTGGATAATTATAGAAGTAATTAAGATAATGGAGATATTTGACTGGGTACATTGAAGACTGTGAATCATGAGGGGACCTTAGAATCCTGCAGTGGAGTGTGAGTATTTTATGCTAATAGTAAATAAGTAAAATATAATTAGTGTAGACTCTGTACACTACTTAAATAATGAAGGCATCAGAGTTTGGTGAAACAAATGAAATATTCTTTTAGTGTAATTTAAAAGTGGATATATTAATGTAACACAAATCTGACAATATGAAGTACCACATTAAAATATAAGATTTTATTAGCCCACATGTTTTACATCTCTTTGATTCCACCTGATGAAAAGTTCTTTAAAGAGCTGGAAAAATTGTGGGTTAATGAAACCTTACATCTTAAAATAGAGCTTCAGCCTGCCCATTTCATTTACATAAATGAAATGATATAACTTATCAGATCTTTAGGTATGTTTTTGGTATTCATGCAAATATTTTGTTACCCATTTTGATATGTGACTGTTTGTGTGTTTTGCCCACTTCTGCTGTGTTTCTAGCATGTATTTTTAACATTGCTGTTTTTCAGATTTATTTTCTACATTTGAATGATAAAGTTTTAAATGATGTAAAACATTTAAAGCAGTCTTTAAAGAACATTCTAGGTTAGCTTATAAAGTTTTATATTTTTGTCGGTTGTGTTATTTTTTGTTTTGTTTCTAATCTTGTAGCAGTAATTTGTTAAAGAAAAAGTAAAATTAATATCTAGCACAGGTTGAAATACTGTAATAAACTACTACATATTGCTAGTACACACGTACTGATCTGTTATCATATCTGATACTTCTACATTTTAAAAAGTGTAATGTTCATAATATTAGAGTTATTGGGTGATAAAAAAAAATGAACTTTGTATTGATGTTCAAGGATATTAATAATTAGCTTTTGACTGTAGTTACATAGTTGGTTATAGTTTAAATAAATGCTTTTGTGCAATTTACTTTAGTGTTGATATAAGATTTTTGTTTTGGGCTAAATTAAACTGAATTGGTCACTCTAGATAGAGTTCTGAAACCTTTCAAAGGTTACAGTAACGTGTAAGATTTATTGGTGTCAATTTCCTTTAATATTGATACCACATTTGTTCTTTGGACTAAATTAAACTGTGAATTGGTTATTCTACATAGAAATCTGAATTTTTAATCCTCACTATGGTTACAATAGCTTGTACTGTAAGACTTTATTGGCAATTTACTTTAGCATTAATATCATATTTTCATTTTGGACTAAATTGTACTGCGAATTGGTCACTATACATAGAATATTGAATGCTCTTTACTATTATAATGCTTGTATTGTAAGACTGTTGGTTAATTTACTTTAACATTGATATCACATTTCCATTTTGAACTCTGAATTGAACACCATTGATAAAATCTTAAATTGTGAAACCATCATATGGTTGCAGTAGCTTGTATTGTAAGTCTTTACTAGTCATTGCCTTTGAATTTGAAAACCATTTATAAATGACTATAGCATATCATTTCCTATTATTAGATTACCATATATATTAAGCAGAATCAAATAAACTGAGTATTCTGGAAATGGAACTAATCATAATATTCTATTACTTCTATGTAAATTTTTCTTCATATCTTTCTTGATTGGTTTGTCTTTTAACTTGATTTTCAAACTGGATTAATTGTGAATTCAGAATTTCTTCTCACAAATAAAATATATTTTATTTGTGTTGATCTTGTCTAGACAATATAATTGATATTTCGAAGACAATTTTTTAATCACAAATTTTGACCTTACATGTTGATGAACTTTCCTGGAAATAATGTAATATGAATGCTATAGGCTATAAAATTTATTCTTAGTTAACATTGGTAATCATCATTGAAGTATAAACCTCTTATCTGTGGCACATTTGTAATGAAAACAGTTACACATTTGTCAGTATTATTATGATAGCGACTTATTTTGAAAATGCACAGTTGTCATGTTCGTTTTTTTTTTTTTAGAATTTTTTGTTAACAGGAATTACTGTAAATGAATATTACTGATGTAAATCAAATGAGAATCAAAAATATTTTTTGATAAAATGTTAGTTGCATAGGGATTTTGTTGTGTACAACATAATAAATCATAACTGCCTGAAAGATTTGTTTTCTACTAACATTGTTTTATCTATCTGAAAAAGTTTCCAGACATTGGACATTTGAAGTCATACTGTACTCTCTTTGACTCAGTCAAAAAGTATGAATAGATATCATATCTAATAATGATTGGAGACAGCTTGAATGGGAAATGAAGAAAAACTTTAATACAAGTTTTAACATAACAACAAATGTTCAACGTTTCGACAAAGTTTTGTCATTATCACCTTTGCACTTTGGGGTTGTGTTGTAAGGATGACGGTCTAATCCCATTATTCAATGTAAGAGTTGACTAACTGTGTTCTTACTAATCTTTCACTTCAAAATTATGGGTTACGCAACTCGCATTTTGCAATTCGTGGAATTGGATTCCGTCACAGAATATTGTCACCTTTTCAGTCACAATGTGATTGTCAATTGTCAACCCCACTAGTTGTTGGTAAACAGTAGTCAAAATTAGAGATGGCTACCACAAATAGCCCTCAAATAGCTTTGCGTGAAGATCCCAAAACAAACATACTCACTGGATTTTTGGATGGTGTATTTAATCTTCATATTATGAAAAATGTTTACAAGGTGGTACTTGTTGATCAAATGGAACAGTCGACAATGAAATGATTGGCACAAAAACTAGTAAGTGCATTAGAAAGTTGTGATATTTAACTGAATAACAAAGCCAACTCTGATTTTGAGAATAAACTCGTACTTTGGTACCCTCAAGTTCCCACTATCATAGACATTCAATACAAGTCTGTGGTTCAGGTTTCAGTAGACGTATAGACTGATTGTTTTTTTTTTCGCTCAACTTTTGCTTGTTTAGCTTTTTCAGGAGTGACCCTCTAATTAGGGGTACTGGAAGCAAAATTACATTTTGGGGGCAGGAAACTGCTACTGCTTTTTTTTTCTTAATTTTAATCATCAAATATTTACCGCATCAATATAGAGAAACGATTTTTATGTACTTAAATTAGTATGTGTATTTCAGTTTGTATGTCTATTAAGTTCTTAGCCATGTATCTAATATTTGAGCTTCAAACTTATACAAATTAGCAAAGACCAGCTTCAGCACCACTAATTGGTTTAAACTAATCAAACAATTGCAATTATTGATCGTAATAGAATACTGATGGAGTATAACATCGTTAAGTAACGAACATATTCAAAAGAAGCATTATTGGTGGAGCAAATATCCAACCTACTCTGGCGCTTTTGCTACTTAATAACTATATAATCAATTGCCGATTAGTCACGTAAAATAATCGATTAATCGAAATTCGATTAAATCAATATCACGAAAGTAATCACCTAGTGTTTCCGATTATTACTGTTTTTCGATTATTCCAAATATTCAGTAATTGAAATGTTGTCATTATAATTTTTCATTGATAATTTTCAATTAGTTAAAGTTTATTTAGCCTAGTGGCGGATCACAGTTAATATTAAGGAGGAGGATGACGATACTTTACCCCCCATCCCCACAAATAGAGAAGAGTAAATAATGTAATTTCTTTAGGTGTCTCGATTTAATTATACAAGAATTCGATCAACGGTCTTTCATAGCTGCAAACATATTGTTAATGATGTCGTGCCAGACAAGCTCTAATTGTTTGTCTAAATGTAAAACAACCAAATCGAGATAAATCGTGGCACTTCATAACAAAGCCACAGCAAATCGTTTAATAAAACTCGCTTTTAGTTATTTATATCGTTATAAACATTGAATACTCGCAGAATCGTTTAATTTGTACCAGTTTATGGCTACGCTTCTGTGTATCTATGGTTTCACATGCTGTGACGACTTATAAGGATTGTTATTTTCTTCGTTTCAAAACACACACATAGCCAATTTGTTTCTTTGCAAGTGCGCTTAATTATCGATCTACTCTGAAGATTTTAAAACAAGCTTTTAAAATGCACAGGGTATTTTGCAGATGTTACAATACGCGGAAATAATGTGTTTTACAGAAATTTTGAAAATTGGAGGTTATTTTATTTTGGGATGCTTTTAATTCGTTGAATATAAACCTTTGGAAAATTTGTTTAGAAAACTAGGGTTTATGTTTCAGATAATATTAACAAGTTAAAAGTGTGCAATTGTTTATACAATTCAAAACAGTAGTTTTCTTTTACTACGATATAGAGTGTTTAATAACCACTACATAATTAACGTTGAAAATGAACACCTGATATTTGTGTATTATTATTTTAGTTTAGTTGATTTGAAAGATACTGTTTTATTATATTAATTTGAATGTTGGTAGTTTATCTTAAACACCAGATATGCAGGCACATCATATGTTTTCTATCTGATCTAGTTCTGTATGAATTTTTAAAACTTTTTTTGGTTTGTTTAGCATGAACAGTTGGTCCACAAAGTCATTGACACTGTATTGTTCTAGCTTTGTTTTTGTTGTTCTCTGTGGTTGATAATGCCTATTTTTGTCCGTGAGAATAATGCAGTAACGTATGACATCCGAGTTCAGGTATTTGTATAGGAGCCGGATTCTTTACAGTAGGTGTCTGTGATTTGTTGGCGATAAATTCGAACAATAAATGGACAGCACACAATCCACTTATTTTAACATAATATATTCAAAACAAGTCAAACGTATGTACAAAATTTCTTTACACTAGAGGATATCACAGTTGTATCTAAAAACTAAATAATTATCTTTTTCTTCTGAAAAGTTCACACAGTCTGGCTCAGTTCAGTGGCGTAACAATAGGGTGGTCTTAGTGGCAAAATACCCTTGGCCCAAGTTTTACTATACAGTTTTCACAATTTAGAAAATATTAGAATAAAATATATTTAATATTTAATATGCCTGAACACCACATAAGAAACTGGATGTGCAGCCGAATCTCGCACTGGCAACACTGCTTCAGGCTATGAGTCTGATTCTGTCTGAACTAGTTGACATTTGGCAAATGTGTCTGGTGGCTGCATCCTGCGTTCTTCATACATTTTTGAGTAGACAGTGTACAGAGCAGTCTCTTAAAATAATAGTAATACACTAATACTGCGGAGATTGTGAGTGCAGTGAAAGATATAAATAGTGCTATAGTGGATTTTGTGTACATGCTGGTTATGTAGTGGTCGCCATTATGTTGCATGTCATTGTTTTTCAATCGATTGGTTTGCAAAATTTTGATTAAAAAATTGTCTTCGAACTTTTCTTGCTTTGCTTTTGTTATGAATGTCTTGCTGTTGATAAAATTCATTGTTTTGCAAAAATATAATATTATTGGTGACTTAAATTTGACATTTCTTTTGCTTCTTCCTGATCGATCTGATTAATTTTAATTACTTTTATACTTTTTTGAACTCAGAAAATTTGTTTGCTTTGTATAAATGATTTATAACTGTATCGTATCCCTATTGAAATGTTTTTTCTTCATAGTACTAAAAGTATGGTGAGCTAATTTTATATACTCCTAAAAGACTCGGTATTAAAGAAATAGCTGTACAAAGTTATATCTTTAATGATACAGATAGCCCTATAAATAAGATTAAAACTGGTGTTAATAACTGTTGTTTACGGTTCTAGAAAAATTAACTGATTTAAAAAAAATATTTTCCTTCCGTTAAATAATACTGTGTTAAAACAAATGACAATAATGAATTTTTTGATAAATGATAAAACAAATCTTTGCATCTGTACTCTATCTAAGCCAAAGCACCATCCAATCATCAAAGTTTCAATTCTGAGTAAACGACTTTGATGATACAACTATAAATTGACTTTTTTAACGAAATAAATCTTTCCAGTTTATTATTTTAGTTACTACCTAAAACACTAGCCATTAAAGCAGCCCCATTTTTTCCCATTATTTTGGACAAAATTCAGGACATTTCCAAAGTTGATCAGTTATGTGAAATTTATCGTTATTGTTCCATTGAAAGTGATAAAATTGGCAAGCCAAAGGCTCGACATTTTTAGGTTTCTATAAAGTTGAGGACCAATCAAGTGCTGCTCTATCTGAACAAATTTTGCAAAACATTGAACAAAAAGAACTTTCCATTGTAAGATGTCGTGGTCAAGCTTACAACGGCGCCAATAATATGAACGGAATATACAGTGTTGTGCAGAGGAAAATAACCGATATTGAGTCCAGTGCAGTTTATGCTCACTGTGCTGCTCATAATTTAAATTTAGTAGTTAACGATGCAGCGAAAGATGTAACAGAAATGGCTGTTTTATGATGATGTTCAAAGAGTGGGTTTTTCTGGACTAATTATCAAATCATGGGACATATTACTTAGTTTAATTTCTGAATCTGGTACTCGGCAAGAATTAACTATTAAAAATCTGAAATAAAACTAGATGGACTGGACGTTTTGATGAAGTGTTTACTCTCAAAGTACGATTTTGTGAAGTTCAAAAAGCTCTGGCAAAAGTTATTTCGTGTAGCTCAAAATCAGACAAACACAATGAAGCCACTGCACTTAAGAAACTAATACTGATTTCGTATGTTTATAAAAATAAACCTAGCTGAAATTTTCTCTTCGCGTTAAATTTCTTAAAAACGTGAACCCTTCTTGCTCATTCATTATATTTGATTAATAGAACAGCAAAGCTTAATAGGCTTTACATATTTCAGTTGCTCTAGATTAACCATAAACGTTATTAGTTTGAGAGGCAGCTCGGGGGGGGGGGGGGACATCAGTAATACTTTGCCACGGACCTTTCTGCTCCTAGTTATACCAGTGGCTCCAGTTACTTTAAAACCCAATTGACAAGACGAATTATTTTTTCTGCTCTGTTTCTTACTGTACAATTTGCGATAGATTCACTTATGTTACCTTTTGGGTTTCCACAGTTGTATCCAGAACTTTAATTGTCTTCCTTTCGTGAAAGTCTACACAGGCTGGTTCAATTACTTTAGATCACCCTTTGACAAGACAAATTATGTTTCCTATCTCTGTTGTTACAATACACTATAGAAATCACTCGTTAAGGCTAATCACTCACATGCCTGCTAACTTCACGTTTTCTTTCACTAACTAACTTTTCTATCTTCCTTAACTTGCTTTATCTTTAGGTATTTATAACACCTGACAGAAAAATCTAGAACTATATAGCTTTCTAGTAGCAACAATATTACACATAACTAGAAAAACTTGGAAGCTTCGTGTAATATGATGTTATCAATCTTACTAAAGCCTAGTACAACAAATAAACTGTCAACACAACGTTCGATTTGTACAGTGTTGCATCACAAACCGGTCATAACTTTTACTTTTAAAATAATTAACTTTTAACACTTGTTAGGAAAACTGAATAATTATTAAATATTAAATCGCTAAATAATAACTTAAGCTAAACAGTCGTGTATATACATCACCGTATAATTTCTTTTGCTGGCCAAATTGACGTTGTCTTAAAATTAACAGCCAATTAATGTTGTAAGAGAACAAAAAAACGAGCCTACCTGTTGAGTTCAAGAATGCTTCACTTCCACCTGGAATTCTTCAAGTAAAGACTTGCTTTAATATCATCGTGTTTAGTTTGAAGCAAGTCTATTCTGATAGTAACAAAGCTGTGGAGCTAAATACATTCCAGTAGAAACAATTGTGATTCTTTCTGTGCAAGTATGTATGCTGTATTTTCTTTTCTGTTTGTTTCAAAATTAAATTTGTGTTCATTTTAATAAATTTTCCAGTCTTGTTATTTCACACACAACAGGAACACTCGGTTATCAGAATCG